ACACTGTTTTTCTAAAACTTGAGCACCTTCCGTATTCACCAGATTTAGTCATCCTTTCATCACCATAGCCTTCAATTAAAAAGATACAACATAAAGAAAAAAAAATTATTTTTCCTTCTTTTGGTCAGAAGTCTCAGAACTATACTAACATTTTTGACACATTATTTCACTATAGCAATAGTTTGATAATACAGCATATAATAACTTCTATAGCAATAGTTATTTTGCTCAAGGCCTATATGAAGTAAATATCCTAAAACATTGAAATTAACAAGTTAATCCAAGTCCTAAGCAAGGACCATCCACTCAGAATATATATCGAACGTAGTAGAAGGACAAACAATTTAGGAAAACACCAAAAGAGGAGGTAAGTGCAGAAGGAAAAAGGATATGCTGTTTTCTGTTAGCAACATAGGAGACTTGAGAAACTATCCATGTTAATTAACACATTGGTTGAAGTAGCACAACTTGAAGTTAAAGAAAATCTCAAATTTGGGGAGTGGACTTGAACCTACAGCAGAAACCATTCAAGCAGAATAAGATACCTCCCAAGTTACCAACCATGTTCTAAATGCTTCAGTTACTAACCATTTCAGCAGAAACCATCCAGCAGCGCAGAGACTCAGGTTCATCAACATTAAGGCCTCTTCCAATGTTAATGAGAATACCCTTTGGAAAGCAAGCATCAGTGACTTAAAAATCGACAATGTCATTGGTTTCCTCAGAAGTGATCAGAGTTCACACAACCAACTAACTCCATGGAACTTAGATAGTATTCCTAGTACTTCAACTCTGGCTTTGCCAATTCTTCCCAAGCTGATAATGCCACTGTTTTTCCAGAGAACTGAAATGAAATTAAGAAAGGAAAATCATTATAAAAGATACAACATAAGCAATTAGCAATGAAAATAAGCTGATTTTACTTAACCACGTTAGGCTATGTCCAGCACCTTTCAAAATTTAATTATGTTAATTGCTCCACTTCTGCTAAATTTGTTGTAAAGCTAAAACTCACAATTCCTTTTGCCGCTCCTTCTCTGTTATTCTCTCTTCCCTTATGAACTAACCACCTCTCCTTTCCCTTCCTGATTTTCNNTACAATAATTACAATTCTCTCTGCCTCTTATTCTTTCATCCTTTTCTCCTAGATTTTTCACACACATTCTTTCGTCATTATTAACTATTTTCCCCTTTTTTTCTTTTGGTCAGAAGACCCAGAACAATACTAAAATTTTCCACACATTAATTCACTATAGCATCAGTTTGGTAGCACAGCATTGAACGGTTGCTCTGAAAATGTTCATTTACTCGAGGCCTAAATATTCTAACACATTGTTCTCTATTTCCATGGCTCTCTCTTTCCATGGCTTTCTCTCCATGGTTCTCTCTTTTCATGGCTCCCTCTATTGCTCTCCCACCACCCTATTAAGTTGATGATTGGAACAACCAATCGAGTTTGGGCAGCAAGGTCGCTCATGTATTGTTCTAATCCTTATGATTTTTGGTTAGCAAAATGTATCGTTCCAGAACGCTAACGTACCATGATTCGGTACGTGCGATCCAGTTCGAAATTCGTAAGGGGGGTGAGCGATTTGGGTAACTATGGTCAGAAGACTTAGAACTATACTAACATTTTCCACACATTATTTCACTATAGCAAAAGTTTGATAGCACAGCATTGAAAGGTTGCTCTGAAAAAGTTCTTTTACTTGAGGCCTATAGGAAGTAAATATTCTAACACCTTGAAATGAACAAGTTAATCCAAGTCATATCCACTCAGAAAATATCTCGAATGTAGAAAATGGGCAAACAATTTAGGGAAACATGAAGTCCTGGAATCAGAGCACAAGTTAGTTTTGTAAATCTATAGCATATATACACTTTAGGATTTGTTGTGTTGTTTTCTGTTTGCAACATAGGAGAAATTCTCATTTTGAATTAACACATTGATAAAAGTAGCTACATGCAGGCTTAGTCCATTTTCAGACAAAACTACTTAATAAGATTATATTCTTAGAGCACAACATATACAATATGCAGAAACCATTTTATTTAAGCACAACAAGATACCTCCTGAGTTACCAATAAAACCTGATGTTCATTCAGTAGTGTGCAGTTCTAAATGCTTCAGTTGGGCAACATCTGCAGATGTTCATTCAGAGTGCGTTTCATGGAATACAGACACCTTACTCGTCTGTTTTCAGTACATTATCTGACACAACAATTGGTGAAAACAATAAAACCTGACACAGCAATTCAAATAGCACAAAATTAGAGGAACACAAAATCACAGCATATCCTGCAAACTATACAAACAAAATGTAACAAGAGAATTACTCTCTCTTCTCCTACCTAATATAAGAACTAAATATGATGCAATCAAATTTGAAACTTTGTGAATGCCACCAATGCATCCCTTGCTTTTCGTCAAATTTGAAACTAGATGAGTGACAAGTATTATTAAACCATGATAGATAGATAGTGTCCTTCCGTTAGTCAGATTGACAAGTTTCAGAGCAAATTAAACAGTAGCTAAAAAGAAAAATAGATTATTATAAATAAACCCAATCCTAGGCATGTATTTATAAAAAAACCAACACACTATTTAAACATAGAAACACACCCAAAATCAACCCCAAAATCAACAATTGTATATTTTTTTTTTTTTGGTGAGATAAAAAGGTGGCAAAGGAGTCACCTCTCCGAGCCGGGCATGGGTGAAGGGAAAGCTCTCCCCATGGAGTTTATTTACACACCTTTGTGTGTGGTGCAGCCCATTCGAACACGGGACCTTCGGTCCCCAAGCACTTTGGCTTTTCCACTACACCAAACCCCATGGGTAACAATTGTATATTTTTTAGGTGTGTTTATAAATGAGTTTTGAGTGTGTGTAATGATGAATTTTGGGTGTGTTTCTATGTTTAAATAGTGTGTGGGTTTTTTTATAAATACATGCCTAGGATTGGGTGTTTTAGTGAAACTCTATTTTTCTTTTTAGCTACTGTTTAATTTGCTCTGAAACTTGTCAATCTGACTAACGGAAGGACACTATCAAAGAAAAATGAAAAGAAAAGGTGACTTACTGAGATGAATTCTGCGGATTGACCATCGTCGTCATTAGCTTTTCAAGTATTATTTTGAGACCTCATTGAATGATTGCACCATGCACAAAATAATTTAGACTTTCTTCAATCTTTTGCCGGCTGGTTCCTCGTCCTCATCAGAGCTACCACTTCCACCACTACCAATTGGACCTGCCTCGTCACAGTACATCAAATGGCTGAATTCTTCCAAATCTCTCTTGTACACCAAACGGGCCCTACATTCCTTTATAATCGAGCTTGTTTTGAGTTCTTCCAAACCTGAGTCTATATGTGAAGAATAATACGTTTCGAACGAAAACCGATGACTGGTTGAGGCATCCGTGAGGCTTGGATGATCGCGAGGCAAATAAAAAACCCAAAGGTGTTCTGACACAAGATTCCCGGCTGGAAATATATGACGGCTAAAATCCAAATATCTCTGAGATGATCGAACTTCAATTTCGAAATCCTCATATCCAAGAAGGGATGCGGGACTATCAAAACATTCAGAATTATCAAAAACAACATATAAAGCAATCCCAACCCAGTCGATATTTGATGGGTGTGGAGGGAGAGGCAGCTCCACAGTTATTGAGTCTCCCACACTTGGATTACCGAACCACTCTAGAATTCCAAATACAGGGCATACAATACCATTATTTTTTAAGAGCATTCCCTGTACCAAAAGAATTACCATTTATTTTTTTGGTCGAAATTATATTTATTTATTATAGAAAAGAAAACTATATTCTTTTCACCAAAATAAAAATAAAAAGGGAAAGAAAACTATAATATTCAACGAGAGAGTAAATACCTCAATGGCCGCTCTCCTTATCATTTCAAATATTGCATTAATCCAGTCTTCTTCTTCAACCAATTTGAAGCAATTAAGACAATCAAGCCTAAAAAAAATCATACAAATTGGCTCCTGGCCTTGATGGATCTGGCAACCTTTTTAAGGAAGTACAATCGCCTACTTCTACAATTTCTATATTTAGCGGAAGCTCTGGCAATCGCTCAAGCCTTTGGCACCATCTCAATCCAAGATACGTAAGCTTAGAAAGGAATCTAATGCTTGAGGGAAGGCTAACGAAATCGTTTCCACAAAGAGTCAAGGATTTTAAAGAAGACAAGCAGCCAATATCATCAAGGATGGCTCCTTCACCAATATCACAAAAATTCAAATTTAACGATTCCAAAGACGTGAAACGATTTAGAGAAGACACCACCATTTTGTTAATTTTTGTGCATCCCAGCAAATCCAGCCCTTTTAGGCCGACAAGGTGTTCAATTGATGGACACATTTGCTCAATAGCAATCCCATGTAACCAAAGAAAGGACAAATTATTCAGCTGTTCCACAAATCTTCGAATGTTTTTCACTTTTGTGCAGCCAAAGAGATTAAACTGTTCAAGAGAATCCATTTCCACCACACTTGGGAGACTGTTAAGATCTGTACACCGTATAAGTACCAAATCTTTCAGCTTTTTTAGAACTGCAAAAGAGGGGTGAACCTCAACTAAACTCGTACAAAATTCTAGCAACAAAACCTCAAGATTTGGAATGCCTGTGAAATCTGGGGTACTCGTCAATTGATCAGAGTAACTAAGGTCCATAAATGTCAAGTTTGGCAAGACCTGTACAGTACATAAAAATTGTAAAATAATAATAATTACTTAGTTGAACGAGTTACAATTATATCCAAATTACGTATATATAAAAGAATTATAAAACGCCATATTTCAATAATCTCTCACCTTTGCTACATCCCAAAGCTGGACAAGTTTGCTATTACACATCCTTAGTTCAACAAGGAAACGTGGTTCTAAAATTGATGGGAGTGATTTAGAAGGGTACCAACTCCAACTGATAGTTCTTAAGGAATTTGGAAGATCTGTGGGGGCTGAAGAAACGATCACATTATCAAAGTGAAGAAGCCTTAATCTGTGCATCTTAGAGAAGGCTTCAGTACAATTCCAATGCACCTCTTCTAATTTCGGCAAATGCAAGCCAATGGCTTCAATTGCTCCAGTTCCCTAATAATTAATAAAAAAATGAAAAGGTAATTGCACATTCAAGTCTAATATGTTTTTAAAAGAAATGACATATATTTTCTTCCAAACATAATATTTCTACATAACTTCTTACCGTATTGTTCGTGATTACATGAGAGATATCATCGCGAAGCCACAAAAGACTGCGTTGACCAGGCTCTTGGACTTGACGAACAATTTCCCTTGCCATTTCTTGTATCAAATCATGCATCTCAACAGTGTCGATACGAGAGTGGATTTTCTCAATAGTTAAGAGAGATTTCTCAACAAGAATATCTATCACAACACGGCTAGAAATGTCATGGTTCATATCTAGTATTCTAATAACTTCCTCTTTATCCTCCCCTTTATGGAAACATGCAACATAGAGAAAAATTTTCTTCTCCATCTCTTTTAGTCCGTAATAACTTACTTTGAGTGAATCAAAAATTTCTGGATCATGAATTTTCTTTAGATTACACAGCACACCATTCCATGTATCTTGATCTCTCCTATACAAAGAACTCCCCATAGTTTTAAGAGCTAATGGAAGACCTTTGGCATATTGTAATAAACACTTAGACAATTCTAAGAAACCTTCCTCAGGCTGACTTTTCTTAAAGGCCTTTTGACTGAAGAGCTCAAGAGCTTCTTCATCATTTAATACCTTGACCTCATATGGTATCGTTATACCATGTTCAACTAGTAGACGTTCATTTCTAGTTGTGATGACAATTCTACTCCCCAAACCAAACCAATATTTCTCTCCAACCAATGTTTCAAGTTGTTTTGACTGATCCACATCATCAAGGATAATAAGAACCTTTTATTGCATAAACATTTTTTAGTGAAAGAGATTCCTGACCGTTCATCCATAACTTGGATAATATTTTC